ACTTTTTACCTAGCCCCCCCCAAAAGCCCTCCCCCCCCCCACTCCTCCCCCCCCGCTGGGGCTCAATTTCCTACCCAGTAGTTGGCCTCGCTCTAAAGTCAATCTGCCACCCAACAGTTCCTGCTCCTACAGACTCACCTCCACTGAGAGGACAACAGAGAACTGCCAGTGTCAATCATCCATGTGAGGCACAGTTAGAAATAAAAAAAAGGAACTAAACTTTTAGGGTCAAAGTGTCAGATGTCCTACCGTGAGCATCGCGGTAGTAGGCGTGGGTGACACTCCGGAATCGCTCCTGACCAGCGGTGTCCCAAATCTGAAAAGCAAGGACAAGAGGTCAGGTTTGACCATTTTGAATACGCGATGAGTAGCCAAGCGTGTCTGGTAAATTTCAATGTTTTTTAAATAGAAAAAAAAGGTCAAAAAGTCAAGAGAAAAAAGAATGATAATCCAATTTCACAGCAAAAATGGCAAAATAGAATTTTCAAACTAAATAAAGCCAAATGATGAGACCGTCTTAGATGAGTTAGTGATGATTTCTTTTTTTAATACATGAAACCCATTGAAAAATTAAAAGCTTTTGTTAAAAATGCATTACTGACTTGTAGATTCAAGTCAAACTTTTAAATAAGCAATTAATATTACAAGAACTCAAATGTTTTATAAAACTGATTTGATGTGATTTAAATCATTTTCTTTCTCTTCTCCACCCTGAGTTCATTGGCCTCGGCTTGTGTGTCTGAATGAGAACTTCCGAGGCTACATCATGTGACAGAACGTGAGCTTCACCCTCCAGCATCTACAGTCAGGCAGAGCTCGGGGCTCACTGACTGATAGAAATGAAGCAGGCCTCATTAAGAGCTCCGTCACCACAGGACACTATCAAGAAAAATGAGAGGAATCTGCACCGTGGGAGGGCTGTTATTTAAGAAAGGAAACACACACACACACACAAGCTCAAAGATAAAGATGCTCACCTGCAGTTTGACCTTCACCGCATCAATCGTCATAACTTTATTCTGCAAAATATACAAAAAAAATGACTGTGAATGAAATCGTGACTGAAACAGAGAATACAGATTATATTTATCTTTAACATTTGTGAATTTCAACCACATTTTATTTATAGCATGTTTGTTTCTTTTTATTCCTGGTGGTTCTTTAATGGAATTGCACCTTGGTTCTGTTGTTTCAATGACAATGAAGAATTCTGATTTTAATTTAATTTTTTGTTGTTGTTGTTGTTGTTTATCTTTTTGGGGTCTGGTCTTCAACATTCTTTGTCCCATACACACACAGCTCCTCTTAACTGTCGCTCCAGTCCTGGTCACTTCCAGGTGAAGAACGTTTTATCTTGAGTCATTTTCAGATTCTAGATCAGCATCAGTGACTGGGATTAACAGGTAATTTGGGATTAGAGTGTATTGTCTGTTTTTACTTTTGAACATCACATCTTTGTCTTTGAACACAGATAGGGTTCCTTCTCATTAGATCATCATCAACTTCCAAATGGAGGCAACATAAATCATTTACAAACACAAATACCTTTTGTAGTGACAAACACTTTTGTTTCAAACAGTTGCATCATTTTCCAACACTGTTTTACATTGTGCAGCTCACACACACACACACACACTGTTAGTCCTTCAGACACTCAAACACAGTGTGATGTCTTTGTTCAGGTACGCGAATCCTTTCAGCTTCTTTTAACAGTTGACAGTGAATGCTGTGGTCAGTGAGTCCCTGCTGCTGCAGAAAGACGTTTTTTTTTAACCTAAATTCCACCAAATGGAGAGCAGATGTTACTCTCACTGTTCCATCATTACAGGAGCTGTAATTACACTGGCAAATAAGACGGATGAGCACACATTCTGTACACTGCTACCAACCCTGTGGGAATATCTGCATCTGCAGCTAATGTGCTTCACAGACACACGGTGCACAGAGGAGGCAGGTCTGGGACTGAAGAAGAACAGGCTGTCGGTTCATTTCATCCTGTTTGGACCACAACGTATATCTATGATGACATGTTTGCTGTGATGCTACACTCACTGATCGTGATCCACGTTTACATCACCCAATAAGGGGTGAGGCGTTTTGGGAGGGAGTGATGTTATTTCTGTATCCACATTACAAAAAAGGCTGAACCTCACACATGAACCTCAAGGGAATTGAACCACTGCATATTCCACCAGAGTACTACATCCATCCATCTATCCAGCTGCACACCGTACGTTCAACGACCTTTAACTTGCCATCCTCTCCTGTCGTGCTCTTCGTTTGGTCCCTAAACATCTCTGTTTACCACTGATGGCTGCGGCTCTCACAGTGACAAGAGTGTTACTAGTGTTTCACTCTGCACCGTGCGTAGGCTAGGTGTTTACATAACACTTCCCTGCAGCATGTTTCAGTGTGTCAGTGTGAGATGAACCAGTCACCAGTGCTGAGCAAATGGAAATGAAAAACAAATTGTGAGTTTTTAGTTCAAGATGGAAAAAAAAATTGAGCGGTTACAAAATAATTTGCCTAAAAAAAGCACTGAAATTGCTAGTTAGTACTTTGGGATAAATAAAAGCTAGTCTGAAAACAAGTGCACTGGAGAATCTTCCATTTTTGGTTAAAAGAGGAAGTAATACGTGAATACTCAAGAGGTTTCCGAGACAAAATTGACTCAAATGTCTTTCCTTTTTAATGAAAACATGACCCTTACTACATTAAGTTGACCTTTACGAATCCAACTAATTTAATTCTCAAATACAGTAGAAGGTTGATGACACAGTAGGTGGACTTCCTACTTAGACATTTTAAGAATATTGTTTATACAAGTGATAAAATTAAACAACTAATCCATAAAGGCAGAGATTTCTACTTTGGTGGTGGTGTGAGAATGCCTCAGCTCCAAGGAGGTGATGCAGTTCAACACACATGCACACACACAATACACAGATAGATAGACAATAGACACAACACCTTCCTTACACATAAGCAATAATGTGCTTGGTTGCTCAGGTAATGATTTTTCAGTAACCTGGGGCTCTGATTCTGCCTCAGCGTCTTCTCTTCCTACTTATTTTCCCCATCGTCAAACACTTTCTCAACATCTTTGTTCATTCGCACCCGC